AGACGACCTGAAAACCGATTTGGCCAACTTTTTCGTAGCGCAGCCGCCAGAGTTCTATTGGAATGGCATCCATAGTTTGCATAAACGTTGGCGTGAAGTGATAGAGGCCAATGGTGATTACATTCATGATTGAGATGATTTTGCTTTTAAATAAACTGGGTTGTAATAATTGTTCATGAAATTCCGAGAACTTTCTTTCCAATCAGATAAGCTAGTTATATCAGGAAGTCTGGAACTCATGTAAATTTCCCTATAAGCCAAAAAACCTATTTCTTTGGGATGGGTTGCGCGAAATCGATGCTTGGCTATCTCTCATCAATAGGCATATACATAAGAGGATAATCTGTCTGTGTCAGGGTGTCAGTCCGGGGAAACTCCTCCTAGACGGATTTTCATGAATGAATGTCAATCGAAAGCTTATGACCGGGGGCGATACTTCTTACAAGGAACACTACCCAAGTGATAATTTCAGATTTTCACCAAACTTGGGTCATTGAAAGGGCTCTCAAAACGAAGTCAAACGGCACCAAAACTTGCGGCTGAGAACCAGGTTCAGGCTCATAACTGGCTCTCTCAATTTTCAGTGATACATGATTATTATAGTCATGGCCCGATTTTCTTTGACTATAACTTTCCAAGGGAAAGTCAGATTCAGGTGATATTTGACAGAGAGGTTCATCGGTGAAGGAGGATTTTTTCCATGCTGCTAGATGGCGCTGATGTAGACAGCAGCGCCACCTACCTACTAGCTATGTCATTTTTTCATTAATAAGTAATGACCAAAAAAAGTTCAATTGTTAGGTCAAAATCCAACTTTGTTTGACCATATTATTTGAAAGAACTCTCGGATGCAGCTAATAATTGGCAGAGAGATTCATAGGCCTGATCGACTTTTTTCCAGTGGTTAAAAAATGACAAAGCTAGTACCCGCACTCGACCTGAAACTTGATTGCCGAACGGACCTGTCCAAAGCATGCTTTGTTCTTTGAGCTTCAAAACCCGAGGTCTCAAATTACGCATTTTCTCGCACTCGACCGGAAACTAGACTGTCAACCTCGCTACACGCCCGATGCACGGGTCCGATCGATCCTATCGAGCCGATCCGCATCCCGGCCAAGCTCAAAGTTTTCCCCTATTCCACTGGGGCGCTCATAAATTAAAACGATGGGTCTCACTTGAAGGCCGAGAAGTGGAACTCGCTGAACATTTGCATGCAGGCGATTGGGGTTTCCCTAAAGACTAAACGCATCCCCTTATATTGATTGAAAGCATGTCTGTTTAAATTCGAAAATTATGTCACTTTAGAATCCCACGAGACGGAACTCACTGGATATTGTTACAAAAATGGGGAGTCTCTTCAGACAGGAACCATCCTCCCGCCCTCCATCTGATAACTGAGAGTTCCAAATTCGTTGTGTGCCTCAGTTTAAAACTATAAGGCGTTATTCGAAACCTGGTGGCGATAACTATTGGGTCAAGAGTTCAAAAAGTTCTACCATTTTGACGTCATGTGGCCTAATTTCAGGGTAAAAATAGCATTATAGTGAATGCCTTCCCGGGCTGTGTGCTCACAACCAACAATGAAAGTAAGTGGCATTGTCGGCAACGGAAGTTGTTGCAAAAGGTAACTGCTGACAATGATCATGTCATAGTTCGTCGTGATACTAGTCCCTTTGCCTGTTTCAGACAGTGCTTCAAGTATGTTTGCAGCATTTAGTTTGTGCTACAATAACATTATTTTTTTCCATTTTGGCGTTCTCAAAATGCCCCGAAAAAGTGGGGAGCTGTAAACTATTCTCCGGCGGGATCTACTGGACTCAAGAGAAAAAAAAGTTCTGGAGTCACAGCCAGTGAATAAAAGTGCATAACGAAGTTCACAAACGCTGTTACGCAGGCAGCTTCCAGGAACAGTGAAACTGACGAAGAAAGAGCAGAAAGCCATGCACGAAATGTTGTTTCGACTTATTTCAGCCCTTGCGCGCACGGGCTTTTACATTAGTAATACATAATACATTAATGTATGTTTGTAAGCCGCGTTGTGACGTTATGCTAATAGATATCCTGGCATGTTATGCATTGTTCGAAAGCTTATGGTCAGGAGGTGTGCACCCTGCAATCAGATTTGAAATATCATCACGCGATGATGAGTTATAAGCTATCAAAATTTTCACCACTATGCTACCCCGGTAGAGCCTTGCACAAGCCTTATTTTCCGGTACCCGGTTCGGGTACCATACGGATAGGTCCGATTCAAGTCATGGCCCGCACCAGACCCGAAACCCGAATATCAATCCAACTTCACGGCCCGACTCAACCTGACCCGAGAAAAAATTAAACGCCTTAACCCAGCGGTTCTCAACCTTTTTACACTGCGCCCCCCTAGTGACCCTGGTTCGGCGCCGCGCCCCCTTTCTCTCTGAGAGGAGTACCTAGAAATTAAACTTACCACACGGATGCATTTTTCATACGATTATTGAAAAAATAGGAAACGAATTGTAACGTTTCAGGGACCGGGTCACATCTAGGAGATGAATTATCATTCGCGTAATTTAATGAGAACGACGCTTACATGCTTCTGGGCCCACAAATGATCGAATCTGGACTGGACGGTAACAATAAAGGCACAAATTTCATTTTCAAAGACGTGCCAGAGAAATGTATATAGAAATTTTGCTCTGCTGGGGAACCCAGCTCTTCTGCGTCATTGAGTTTCTTCAAGTATTTATTTTGACAGAACGAGTGCACGGACGCTACATTCATCGAGCATTTTTTAAAGTTTGCCTGGA